TTTCTGTCGTGGCGCCTGGCGTAGCCGCTCTTCAGCAGGTTGGTCATGGACGCCTCCTCCAGGACGGAGATGTATTTCTCTATGCTGCCTACAGAGACAGTCGCAGGTAAATATGAATCTGTAACATGTACTGGTAACACCGCCATATGATGTTACTAAAGACTTCAGTTACTAAAGGTGTCACTGACTTAGACCCATGACTTTTCCGTACGCAGCCAGGCAGGGCCCCAGCTGTGGGTGGTGGTACTCCTCCAGGGCCATCAGCATCCTCACGATCTCCCCTGTGATGAAGGCGTCGTCAAAGTTCTGCTCTGCCACAGGCTTCAGAGGAAACCTGCAGTACACCTCCACAGCAGCCAGGGGGTCTGATGGCTCCAGGAGCTGGACCAGCTCCACATAAGCGTCGTGGACCTACAACAGAGAGTAAAGCAGGTCATTATAATTTAAAAAATTGACAACTCTAATGTGACGTCAGTGTCAAGAGCTCAAGCTCGACATTAATTTGATGCTTATGAATGCTAGCTTTTAGGCTAGCTCTTAGCTATTGACATGCAGACTTTCAGTAATGTATGATATAATTGTAAAAGATGACTAACATCTGTGAATACTTTTAGCCTTTTTGGCCATTTATTTTCTATATCTTGGCTACGTTTAAATTTGAATTGTTCTTGACTAGATGTTAAAAATATTGAAATTCAGTTCTTGTGATTATTATTATTAACTTACTTATTTTTTCTTGCTTTTTGTTATTAATCTTTGTTAATAAGATTTAGGTTATTTGGGGGCTTGACAATAGCCCCTTCTACAAAGGGCCAGTAGGGGGTGGTGCAGAAAAAAAAAGTTTAGGAATCTTCGCAGTAATGCTTCACAATTCCTGATGTTCCAGGTAACTACTGACCCCTGGTGCCATGGAGATGACCTCTCTGTAGAGCTGCTTGGCCTCTTCCTGGGTGTCAGTGGAGTGGGAGAGAGCGCGGGCCAGACCCAGCCTCGACACATGAGAGTTGCAGTTCAGGGGACCCGGAACAGGGAGTGTGCCTCCTACAGGTGATCCTGGGACTTCATCAATACAGGAGAAGTTTTGTTTTGTTAACTACATCCATTCACGAGAAACACTTTTGGAAATGAAGATAAAACACTAAAATGAAGGATGCCTTTTATAAGGCTAGTGTGATAAAGTGTTGAGGTGAGAGACGTCGTCACCTCTCAGTCAGAGTCTCTTACCCTCTGCTGTCACAGCTGTATCACAGACATGTTTAGACGTGTTTGCAGAGAGCTGGGGTTTGGATCCTCTGGTGGAAGCTCTACTTGATCTGTCTGACTTCGATGTTACTACTCCAGTTCTCCCCCTGCAGGAAAGAAAACAAAATACAAGTCATATTTGATCATCCAGTCATGTTTAAAATTATGAACCAGTGAGAGCAGAACAAACTTAAATATCCTGTTTTTCCCAAATTAATTATGAACAAGATGAACACATATAAATTAAAACATAATTTATGTCAATACATTGAGAGGTCACAATGATGGTCAGGACTGCTGTGACTCACCTGGCGGCCGAGGTTCTGGGAACAGGTCGTACAGTTTTCCCTCCTCGGCTGGAGGCTGAGGGAGCAGAAGGAGGAGGAGCAGTTTTGACCACAGCCGTGGTCACCGGTGCCACAACCCCCCCTCCCCCTCCTGCCCCGCCCCGTCTGGCTCAGTGGAGTCAGGAGGCGTCTTGGCTGCTGCCGTGGGTTTGGTGCTGATGGAGAGTTTGGCAACTTCCTGCTGCTCCTGCCACCACTTCTGTTCTGAGGAAACAGGACATTTGAAATATTAGTGGCTATTTATATTTGTATAAAAATTAATTAATTAATTAATTAAATAATTCCTCCAGTGTGGGATCAATAAATACATCCTTTACTTTGCTACATTATTTTGATTATTATTATTTTAAGGATTAATCAAATATAATAGAAATTTGGTTAACTGTGAGCTGGTTAGAAAAACCTAGTCTAGGACAAGGATCCCAACCACTGGAAAAAAACAAAGAAAAAAAAAACACTTTTTTTTTATATCACATAATTTCCATTAATCTGTGTGGTATTTTATTTTGAAAAGCGACCACTTCCGTCCAATCGTCTTTAGCTCAGTCTGTTTTTATTTAATAATTAGTTAATAATTCTTACGTAAGGTATGTTTTGACATTAGTTTTGCTTTTAATCCTCGTATTTTTGGCTAATTTTTAACCCTTACAATAGTAACAATAGTTATTTATAGACGTTAAGATTGTATTTATTTATTTATTTAGTTTAATCTGAACTTTTCATGAACTGGCTGTTACTTCCTTCCGCTGACTCATGCGTGTTTTCATTTCCTGCACTGTTAGATGACACCCATCAGACCATTTTACAGCACAGGCTCACTGGTCAGCTGCTGAGGTGCGTCTCCCTGCTGACTCTTGTTTTCCAGCTCAATGCTGGCCTGGAAGCTGAGTCGGGCGTCGGTCAGAGCAGACTTTGAGCGCTCTGAGTGGGAGTTGTTGTCGTACTGAGCCAGCTGAGACAGACCCAGGAGACACAGAGCATAGCTGTCCCGCGGAGTGGTCACTACAGCCAGCTGACATGTCTGTACGGCACAGTGGACAAGACAAGAAGGAGGGATTTAAATCACCAGGTGTTAGCCCGGTGATTCCCAACCATTGTTAGAAAATTTTAAAACTATTATTTATTTATTGCGTATATTTTTTCTCTTTGCTCATCCAAGCATGAAAGGCAGAACAATTATATCCTCTTCTGCTAGGTGGCAGCAGATAGCTATGAAAACTAAAAAAAAAGATAATCAGAGCTGTTGAAACAGTTCTTTGATGTGAGTGCCTTTCTTCAATTCCTGCCAGTAAATCAGCATTGTCTTCAACTAAACATATGTATATTCGCTCACGCTGCTGAATTTCAATACTTTGTCGAGGCATACCATATATATATATATATATATATGTATATTCGCTGGTTAAATGACCATCTCCTAAATTCCTGCTTACTCTTTCCTGCATGTCCAGCAGCTTCTGACACGGTGTGATGGAGGCGTGCCGTATGAGCGCGCTGAGGCCCAGACATCGCTTTGACACCAGGGTCAGCAGCTCCACGCCGTTCTTGGACTTGGACTGCTCACGCTGCTGAAACACACTCTGCAGCAGAGCAAAGTGAGCATCGAGCAGCACCCACTCCAGCTGCCTGCTGGCCTCACCACGACACTGGCACTGACTCACACCCTGAGCTGCCAGCACTGCAGCCCTGGAGAGGGATCACAGCACACCAACAGAGGAGGGGGGGGGGGGGGGGGCGGGGGGGGGAGTCACATGGACAAGGCCCTGTGGGCCCAGTTTTGACACTTTCCTTTAGACTACGTACATGTGATAGACGTGTTGTGGACTCATCACTCTCCCGCTGACTTTGGTTTTCTGTAGCAGCCCTCCCAGAGTCAGAAGTCCTCGCAGGAACTGAGTGTTGACACAGGACAGAGTCTCTGAAGGATCGTCCTTCACACAGCTGTGGAGAAACCACACGTAAGAACACACGTTCAGAGAGGAGCCATCTGACTGCAGCACTTCTACTGACTTCATCTACAGGTGTGGGAACAGAATGGAGCATAAACACAGAGACGACACAGATACTGGACCAGCCGTGGGTGAACCTCTGGCTCACAGGCCACGATGTATCCTAAGATTTGACAACGGGGGGGCATTGTGTGAACTAAGATAAATGAGCTGTAAAAGTCATGCATAGGTTAAAATGCTAAAATGCTTTCAGCCTTTTCTACGCCCTCTGTTGGAGAAATACAGGCATTGCAGGGAAAAGGCTGACGTTAATGATAATATAATAAAAATATTTTTTTGTCAACAATTTAGCGGGCCAGCTTCTCTCAGCTGTCCTCCATCATTCCATCCTTTCCTATTCCTCTTCCTCAGCCCAAACTTTAGCCTGACTCCAGTTTACATCGTTTATTTCCCTAATCCAGATAAGGTTTTTCCTGATCGACTTGTATCTGGATTTACAGACAACAACAGCAGGAAAACCCACAGACCTGCGGCTGCAGTGCCGGCTGACAAAGTGCTCCAGGCCCTGATGTAGGAACAGAGCAGCCTCTCTCTTCGTCTCCTCCGAGGTCGTCTGCTCCTGCTGCAGCAGAGCCAGGCCAGTGAAGAATCTGCAGGAATTAAATGATAAACTTTCACCTCTGACTCTGTTTTCTTCATCTCAAATCTCCAAATCTTTCCCATTCTGTAGTGAACTCTGACCTGAGGGCAGGATGGAGGGGCCTCAGAGCCAGGCCTCTCTGCAGATGCTGCAGAGCTTCTCTGCTCCTGTCCTGCAGCAGCAGCAGACGGCCCACGTGCAGGTTGTACTCCCAGCTGTCTGGACTCAGAGACCAGGCGTCCAGGTATTTCAGCAGAGCTCGGTGGATGACGCTCTGGTTCTCCTCGTCCCAAACAGCCGGGCTGCGATCCTGCAATACGTCCAAAGAGACAGAGACAGAGACTCATTGTTGATGCCATGTCACTACGGTAATAAAGATGGTTCTCTGGGGAAAAAATGCCAACGTTAATCTTGCTGACCGTGCCGGTTTTCTTTGACAGCCACACGTAGAGGGTCTGGATGTAGTCCGCCTTCGTGGACTGACCCTGCTCTTTCAGATGCTGGTACTCCTTATCCAGGGCCTGGAGCTGGACCTCCACAGAGGGAATCCCCAGAAAACCGTGGAGTTTACACACGGCCAGGATTTCATCCTGATACGCCGCTGATCTGCCGTCGCTCAATTCGTCTCTGTCTCTGTGCAGCTGCAGACAAGGAGTGAATCCAAACACATGGTGGCAGTCGATGATGTGGTTCAGTGAAACTAAACCTTTTGTTTTCCAAATAGTATGTATATATATAATCAATTATATATATGGGTGAGGCTTGTACACAGCGTGACTTCACCGTTTTTACCTTCCTCCTCAGGCCGTACATCTCAGTAGCGTGATGCTGCTCCTCCAGGACCAGACCAAGCAGGAAGTGGAGTCTGGCCTCTCTCCTGCTGAGTCTGACGGCGGAGGCGTAGTGAGCGGCGGCCTGTTCCAGACAGTGCAGAGGAGACTGGTCGTCCTCACACCGCAGCGAAGTCCCTGTGAAGACGTGATGAAGGAGGTGAGTGGGACATCGAGCAGAGAAGAAGTCTGACTGTAGGTACAGTACGTCTGTATTGGGGTTGTTTATTTTACTGCCACAAATACGAGATTTAAAAAAAAAGTACAGATGGAGGTCAGCATGTTCCCACTCAAACATGGTCCTCGTCCGACCTCGTATTGACAGGGACCCCGTTTGTGTCATGAGTCATGACAGTGAGACAGATCACGTGATCCGACTCTGATTCTGTCTCAGTCCAGTTTTACACACATTCATTCAGTTCTTCTACAGTCAGCCCTGCATGTCACCTCCCCGTGTCCAAACAAGAGCCACAGAATGACGAGCGGTAACCTGAGAGTCAGGCGTGAGACGGGAGACAGACGCAGACTGAGACAAATAGAGGAGGGAAACCACAAAGTCCAACACTGTCATGTATTTTTAATGACTGCTGACCTGACCTGACTCTCCAGGAAACTCTCTGCTGCACAACAGGTGTTTAAAGCAGCGCAAGGAAACGCCTACAAGTGTTTGATCACGATTACTCCTGTTATATTTGCCGGTAACTGCGCCCTTCGCCACCAGAGGGCGTCGTGGTCAGTACCAACTCATCCCCGTAGCCTTGCTGTAAAAGTTATGCCAAATCACTACATTGACTATTGCTGACAAGCTGACAGTCATTCGGTATTTATAATAAATTGTTGTGTCCAAAATTCAAAAATAAAAACAACCTCTTCTACCTGCGCCCCACGGTTTGTCTGTGTCTTCACAGCTAATGAGCATCAGAGTAACAAAAAGAGGGAAGGTCAAAGGTCAGCTGTCAGTAGATAACCCATACATGAGCGCCCTCTGTTCTTGGACGGTCTTACTGTACATGCCTTGTTTGTCCAGGTGTTGGCGGTAGAGTCTCAGCTGATCTTGCGACAGAGCGCAGAGTTTTTCCACGCTGTTCTCCTTTGTTGACGCCTGGAGTTTCTTCTCCCAGTGACGGAGCTGAGGCATTCAAGGATTTAAAGTGATTGGTGCGTTTTTTTAAAGAATGTCTTACAATTCTAATGTTTTCAATATTTTATTTTAGATCAAAAGTCACAAATCTTAGATAATCAGGTTCACTGTTTTCCTCTAAAAAATATTAATCATCCGAAGTTGAAGCTTCACCAAACTTTTAACAATTATTTCTCTGACTATGTGTATTATTTTTATTCTTTGTTTATTCTTTAACATTTTGTTTTTGACTAAATTTGAATATTTTTGCACAATTGTGATTTTTTTGTGTATGTATTTGTATAAATGTTTTACCTCTTGAATGTGTTTTGTCTCTATCTCAAAAGAACCGGAAGACCCAAAGTGCCTCTGATACCAGCTCGTCTCCTTGACTTCCTGTAATGAAGATGAAGAAACCAGAGGGCAGTAATGAGCTGAGTGTTTATACTGAAGACGACGGAGTAAAGGAGTGAAGGTAACACGACCCTCAGAACCCTGTCCTGAAACCATCCACCGGTGTCATCGCACACTCACGCACACAAACACCAGATCCTTCTTCTGTGCTAATGAATCCAGCTTTTAGTCACCGTCAACACGGCAGCGCTGACTGGTAAATAAAGGATGAGCGGCGAGCAGTTCGATGGCAACGATCGTGTCCGTGCACGGGCGCTCTTTAATCTTTCATACTGACCTTTGGGTCCAGGTCTCCTGAGGGCCTGTGTGGGCAGTGGAGAGAGTGAGAGCCCAGCTCACGCAGCCTCATCACAGTCTCACATCCTGTGGTTCAAAACAGGAAAAAGTCAAACGGGTGAAGATCAAAAACGGACGACCGTTATCTTCCCTTTCTACGTCAGAATGAACTGCAGGAGGCAGTAGTTTATTTTACCTCTAACACTGCAGCGTTAAACTAAGATATAAAGACACAGTCAGGTCAGGTTTGTCCAAAGTCTGGTCCCAGGTCCTGTTCAGCCGTTCATTTATTATTACTATTTCAATTCTGTCAATTTTTTTAATTTTTACCCAGGGAGCTGGGTCCAATGCCCAAAGTCATCAGTAGAGGGCGGGGTTACATCCCTGGGAAGTGTTTGTGTATTTTTTGTACCGGATTTATACCAGATTGAACACACTGGCGGGAAGGTTTTGGCCTACGGGCCGTATGTTTAGCACCCCTGCTTCATCTACTCTGCTAACACAGCTATTTTCAGGCAGGCTAAGTTAAGTAACATTACACCCCAGTAAAACAACATAGCATTTGTTGGTTGGTGTCATGTTGTGTGATAGTATAGAGATAATGTGACCTAGACTTAGTTAGAATATTAAAAATGTAGATATACAAGCTTTTCCTGGAGGTGACGCTGAAGGTGGAGGTGGAAAACAACTTTGTAGTGACATTAACTATTTAGTCATCAAACACTTCGGTCGGTTCCTTCTTCCTCACCACAAACAACGGCGCAGACCTGTGTTAGCTTTAGCCTTCTGTTAGCAGAAATGACAGCTTTTCTGTTGCCTAACCAGGTGACCTTCAACCAGAGGAGCCTTGGCCTTCAGAGAGTCCTTTACCTCGGTAGTTGAACAAGCACTTGACCAGTGCGGCAGACATGTTCCTGTCCAGGTCCAGCTCGGGGATTTTCCAGCAGTCTCCCAGAGGACGATCGCTGAGAGGGTCCACTTTGGATCTCCGTGCCAGCATCTCAATGTAAGGTCTGGAGAAGGTGTGCTTTGGTTCGCTGTTTGGAATGGAAAGAGTTTGATCATTTATTCAGGCCATTACCACACTCATCACTATCATCATCATTACCGTATTTTCTGGACTAAAATGTGCGAGTTTTCTTTCTTTTTTTTCTTTTTTTTAGCAGTTTGGCTTGTGTCTATCCCACGCCTTATCGTCCACGGCCGCAAGAGGGCACTTTTTTCTTTTTTTGCAGTTTGGCTTGTCTAAACCCCACGCATTATCGTCCACGGCCGCAAGAGGGCACTGTCTACACTCGTGACATCCGACCGCTGCTACTGCAGTAATCAAAATATTTTACTAAAGACTAGGGCGTTTATTTTACAGCCCTGAACAATTACATTTGAATTATGATAAAAAAAGGACATTTAAAAGAAAATATGAAAAGCATTTATTTTCATTTCATATCAAAAATCGCATTTTTAAACCAAAACTTAAATCAAATCAAAATATTTTTTAAATACAATTTTATGAAATATTGACCCACCCCCCGTGGTGTTTGGGCCTCACCTGTGTTTGATGGACACTGGTCTAAAAAAAGCGCTCAGGGAAACTGGACATTCGTACTCCAGCTGCTGCTTCACATCAGTGAAGGTCACGGCCACAGGAAGCAGCTCTCTGGTCACCAGCACTGAATAGACCTGAGGGCCCAGGTAGGAAACAACAACAATGTCCCTAAATATAATAATAATAATAATAATAATAATCTTCCAATAAAAGGTGCTTTTTAGTCACATCCTCAACCTGTGAATTAGTGCCATCTGCCGAACAGACAGAGATGTCCACCATGGTGTCTCCATAATTCAGCAGCACCGACTGTGAGCTGTCTGCTCCATTCACGGACACTTTGATGTTTCTGTCCGGGACAGAGGCTGCAAGTGTCACGGCTTCACAGTGGAAGGGAACCAGGCCTGTAATAATTGTCATTTAATTTTAATTTAAAAAAAATGGTACTCTTCGTCGGGATATTGTTAAATTCTAGTGATAATAAATACTTTTACTCACAATGATACTCATAGACACGGCTTGAAAACGCAGGCTGAAGCAGCAGATTTCCCCCCACCGTCAGGTCACTGAGCTCCGCGATCTTCGCGGACAACTTGGTGATTTCCACGTTGTATTTCTTTGTGGTTCCATTTTCGGCCACCACCTCGATTTCTACTCTGTTTGGGCCGTTGTTCAGCTTCACCGTCCTGGTTCCATCACCGGACAGCTGGAACACAGGTGGAATTTAAGTGAGATTTAAGTGGTAATAATAAGTGGGTGAAACGTCACGTGCTGAACCTACAACATGACACGAAGCTCCACAGTCACTGGTGAGCAGGTCCAGAGTCACGGTGGTGACGCTGCTCTCCACTGTCGCGCTGTAATCTGTCAGTTCTGGAGAAAAGTTGGGATGGAGTTTCCCACCAGAGACGTGGAGTTTCTCCAAATCACAGTTGTCCATGATGAAGGAAAAAAAAAATTAAAATAAAAACAGTAAATCAATTACTTCTAACTGTGGCAGTGTTTGTTGTGTTTGGCTCCAGAACAACAACAGACCAGAGAACCAGCCAAGGGTTTGTCTCCGACATCGCGACACACCCAGATCATTTACAGCCGAGACGCTGCCGGTAACCACGGTAACACCGTACCGTTCTTATCAAGACGTTACGTTTATTACCAGAAAACTTGTGCTCACCAGAAACGTTCAACGTTTATTTATTTCCCCCCATGTCCCTTTAGGAGATACAGTTAATATGGGGAAGAAATAAAGTCAACATCTCATGGAAAAAGTAGCGTCAACCAGTGGTGAAAATGCATGTTGTGGTTTATTTTTCATGTATAAATAAGAATGTATGACAGCCTACCGTAAGTATTTCTCCAGCAACAGCGTATTATTATAATATATGACATTGAACTGTATTCTATTATATCATATTATATTATTTTATATGTGCTTTAATAACTTTGTTTTCCGTTTCTGCTAATGAAATACAAAGAAATACACAGCGCTCCTCCGAACATGAGAGGGCGCTGGAGTTTAAGATAGTAGACACGCTTGATAGTGTTTTATTTTGTTTTTTATTATTATTTTTTATGAGATTCTGTACTTTAATCAATGTTTTAATGGTCAATTAAGCTAAATATTATCGTAACTTTAATTTTTAATCGGTGTATTTTCTTTTTATTTACCAGGCGGAAACAACGTCACTTCCGTTCATCTTCCCTAGGATTCAGCGTGTGGAGAAGGTATGACAGAAGAAACAAAAACATTTTGCAGCTATTACACAGTTTATGGCCATAGAACTATTGATTATAATTTGACAGCAACTGTTTATTGTCGATTTAATTATGTCATTTAATTTCTCTTTGTGAAGTTATTTGGTTTTAGCGAGTGGTGCTAGATGGCTACGGCTAGCCCCTTAGCTTTCACTGTGAACACGGGTGTGTTCTGGGTTAGAAGCTAAACTGTTATGGCGTTTATTTTACAGTATATTTAAACTGTTGACCGTCTGCTAGGGAACAATGGCAGCAGGCAGCAGGACGGAGGACTTCCCTCATGAGATTGAAGAACAGCTCACGTCCTTCGACGCATCGGTTTCTTCAGTCAAAACCATGTTGGAACAGTTGATATCGATGCCCAGAAACGATCTGGTGGAGAAGGTATATATAAATATGCTAACGAGATAGAGTTAGAAAGGTACTCTTAGAATTTGGAGTTGGTTGTTGATTTTCAAAATGTATGTTCACTCTTCTCTCACCTAAACCTGTTTTATTTACAGTTGGGTCCTTTGGATCAGGCCAAACTGGATCTGATGTCTGCCTACACCCTCAATTCACTCTTCTGGAGTAAGTCATCATCACTGAAACACATCTGCTGCAGACACAGTTCAGTAGTGACAGGAACTGGCGAATATTTACAGTGACTATAATTTAAAATTACAATGTTGCCGTAGTTGAAATGAAACCACAGTAGAACGAAAACTAGTATGATGAAGCTGATTATTATTTTGTTTACAATCTCAAATACAAAAATGGTTGTTTTTGTAAGTGCTGTAATCACATAGCAGTCTTACGTATTGTCTTGTTTACAGTGTATCTGGTTACACAAGGAGTAAATCCTCGGGAACATGGCATCAAGCAGGAGTTGGTAAGAGACCTGGGTTTTCTCTGAATCTCAGATTTTCTCTGTTTTTTCTTATTACTAGAATAAGACAAAATGATAAGAAGACTTGAAATCATGGGTGTGGCTACAGTAACATAACTTTATTGAACTTGATGAGCCTAAAAGCCACACCTCCCCTAAGACCTGACTGAGTTTTTAGACCAAACATTTTCCTGATTTTTTCCCCCTTAAGTTACATTTGTATGTTTCTTTTTTCTGTCATCAGGAGAGAATTAGAACGTACATGAACAGAGTGAAAGAGATTTCTGACAAAAAGAAAGCCGCCCGTCTGGATAAAGGAGCTGCGTCACGTTTTCTCAGGAACGCCCTCTATGATCCGGAGGAGAAAGAGTCAAAAACAAGATCAGCATCGAAGAAAGGTTCAGACTCGGTGTTTGAGAGTCCACAGTTAAAGAAGCAGAAGCGAAGCTGAAACTCTTCCATCTAGTTCCATTTATATATATATATTTTTTAACACTCGAGCTGGTGTTTTTATTACAGACCGTCTGCTGATGTAAAATGAAAACATACAGTTTACTTCATTGTTGATCATGAAACTGATCCTGGATCTGAACAGATGACCTGCAGCCGACAGAATTTTTTGAACAGATGATGCTGGGATGTGTGTTGGAGTTAAAGGATCCAACGTTGGAATCATTTCAAGACGTTTCTTTGTCTCTGAGCCGAGTTATTTTTTAAGACGAGTTTTATGAAGAAAACTTTGTGGTTTTGTTTTGTTCTTCTTCTGAAGAAGAAATGTTTCCTCTGAATGTGAGAGAGAGATTCTGTGAATCGTGAATAAAACCTGGTCACAAACATGTTTCCTGGTTGTTTACATTTGTTTAAAATGTAATGTTTTGTCTGTTTTCTTTGTTTTGTTCATATATACACTTTGTGTTACATGTAAGTTGCTATAAATAATGGAGAAGTTCAGTGACTTAGAAAGGGTAAACAAAACTAAATTGTCCACAGCAGATGTGGAGTTGTGTAAATTAGTAAATATATTTGACACGCTAGAAATTCAAAGTAAATATGTGGGTTTTCTTGATTGAAATGTTTTTTCTACCATTACAATTTTTTCTAGACTTTTTTTTGCTGTTTTTACAGTTTGTTTTTTTTAGATTTAATAATTAGGCCCATATTTATTCTTCCCAGTAAAATCGTAGGTTTTAATGTGACTGCTTTTATTCACAAACATTGTTACATGACGTTAAAACAGCCGTGCTGATTTATATCCGTAATTCCCCGTGGACAGCCACGATCTTAATCTTAATTTACCCACAAGTCCCTGCATTCCTCTAATCAAGGCCAGTAGTCAGGTCCGTGATGAGGAGTGTTTCTTCTGACGTCACAGCAGCCTGTCTGCGTCCTTTGACTTTTCCTCCCTCCATCCACAAACACGTGTCAACTCTTGCCCGGTAAAAAGCGGCAACTTATTCATATAAACAAAAATATGGATTTTTTTCTATCCCTCCTCCCCCTCTGTCCTCGCTGCAGCAAATTTGCACAAACAAACATGTCATGTTGGGAGAGGCTGCGCCGCCTAACCAGCTCCAAACGCCGCCTTCCTCCCTGTGGTTGTTTGTCCACAGCCCGTGATGAGGAAGTTTATCTTTATTCGAAGTGAAAGACATCAGTGCTAATGACTCCCTGAAGGCGGCAGCAGCGGCTCTGTCTGCTGGAGGCTGAGGTCTCTAACACGAGGTCCGTCTGTGGAGCCTGGTATTTACACACACTGCGAGAAGTCTTTTACATATTTTCTTGACATTGTTCCATATTCACAAATAAGACCAGATAAATCGTAATTAATTATAAAAACATATGACAAACCAAACGTTTCTTACATTTGTTGTTGGTAGAAGAACTGACAAAAAGAAAAAAATTAAATGACAAAAATTAACCCATTAAATAAATTATGCAGTATTTAGTTGCAAACGTTGACCCACTGAAAAAAAATGCTAACCTGAAAATCTGATTTGATTTAAGATAACCTTCGTTTATGTTTTAACTTTTACCTGTGTTTCCTACTTGTTTCCCAATTTCTTATGTTATTAACTTTTAGCGGTGTTTCCTACTTGTTTCCCAATTTCTTAGCTTGTACTTTAAAAAAAAGGATGTGGTTGTATTTTTTAAATGCCGCAAAATATGATTGAATAAGACTGATGTTTTCTTCTGTCATGACATAGAATTTAAACCGTGGTTAATGTATATAAATGTCAAATAAGTTGTATATACGGAGACGGCGGGTGGAGCAGAGAAGAGGAAATCACGCGTGACGTTAAAAGCCCGTGATTGCTGTGAATGATGTTGAACGGTGAAGGTCAGTGGAACAGGTTTTCACTTTGATTGTGTGGCTGAAATGAGAGTGAGTTGAAGGTCAAACATTTCTGTCCGACGCTGCAGACATTCCACACAGAAGTTCGAGTCACTTTCTCTTCACCTCCTCCTCACTGACAGTCTCACTGATCAATGATGATTCCAGAGTTTTCTTTTCACCCCGGCCCCAGCTTCGACACTTCAGGAACAGTTGGTCCGTGTTAGAGTTCAGCTCTGGGCTGAGGAGCCGTGTTACTTTATTTTTCTCCGTCTTATAGCGCACACTTGTTTGTTATAAGCTCCCTCTAGTGGTCACGTGAACGGACAGCTCTTAGATACGGCACTATTTTCTTTTTTATCTCGTTAAAGAAACATATTTTGTAAATAAGTTTAAAAGTGACTATAACGTAACTCAAAGTTACATTAATGAATTATTTTTTAAAAGTATTTTTTTAAAAGAATATTTGTGAAATTGTCGTTTAGTGACGACAGATAAACCAAACGATTTACGGCAGGTTTTACGACACCAGCATATGACGTCGTTACGTGACTAAGAAAGTTTGTTCTAGCATTACTCACAGTCTCCAGTTGTGTTGAAGAGCGTTTGATAATCATTGTGTTCGTACAACTACCTCCCCTACTGTATGATAAAGTATTAAAAAAATACAAGAACGTGAAATGTCTGTACGCTCCATTACATTTTTCTTTTTACGCACGACGCTTGTTTTAGCTCGCCGTCTCACTTGCTTCTTTACAGCCAAGGAACAATGTTCAACAAGTGAAACACGACTTGAAGTAATGAGAAGCGCGATGCGCGTAAAACACGTTAAAGCTTCATTTTGTGCCAGGCGCTGCAAACTGTTGCAGTGATTTTAAAGTATTAATGAAGCATATTTCAACGGCCCACACCACAGTACGACATTTTGCATCGAAATACGGCAACTTTAAACACCTGGTACGATACCTGGCAACGCCAAGCCATGTCAAAAAGGATTATTATGATCGAGTGACAAGATGGAGATGGATCTCTGCATCAGGACATTTCTGTTAAACCACGGACACAACCTGGAGGAGCATCGGTCCGAAGGCTGGGATTCTCTGGACCTGGTTTCACTGAAGTCTCCGTTCATCTTCATTGGACAGTCAACAACGATAATGAGTGAGTAAACAGTGTTTTTATATTTTATTTGGCTGGAAATGGAACTGCAATTATATTTATGGTTTTAATATTCAAACTTACCGCTCATTTGTTGTTGGTTTAGAGATCTTGGTCTGAAAATGTTTGAGAAATGATGCTTCACGAAGTTAGTAGATCTCGCGAGAGAAACAAGCTGTCATGTTTACAAATACAGATTTAAAGACTCACTATCAGAGTACGCAGAGTTGGCAAAAACACTTTTGCTTTTCCCCTCAAGATAATTTATTGTTTTTAATTATATAAAATTATTAGTGATGAACCGACAGCGCCCCATAGTGTCAGCCCAGGTAACCTGTTTTGGTATGCGTGTGAAAACAGTTCAGTATGAGCATTTCTTGGAGTCATATCTTGTGCACTGTACTGTATCCCTTGGAGTTATTTAGACCATGAGTTGACGTCATTCTTCGGTGAACTTCCTGTCCTTCACGTCACCTGACGGGATGTTAATTTAACTTCTGGGGATGTAGGGTTGAAGGTTCAATTTCCTGCTTTAAGTTACTTGTGTCCGTGGGAAACTCTAGGTCTGTTTCTTTCTGCTGCAGTTGACGTGTTTTAGTGTCTGGTACTTTCTGCTGCAGTTGACGTGTTTTAGTGAGCAGTTTCAACCATGTGGAGACAAAAAAACAAACAAACAAAAATTAAAAGATTTACACATGCGTTTCAGACAGATGTGATATTTCTAACATGTGCAGAGCAGCTCTGTGATGATGTCACTGTGCTGGAGTTTTTTTCTTTTTAAACTCATCTGTAAACCACTGTCTGGTGTTTACATCCGTCTGATGTGGGTCTCCTCACCGCAGCGGCCCACATGTCCGATGTGAATCGGGGCTTTTCCTTCTCCAGGCCTACGAGCTTCCGATGCTCAGAGCTCCAGGATCAGCCTTCAAAGAGCTGAAGGTCAAACCGTCTCTGAGTCTTTTTACAGAGGAACTGTTTGGCAGCTGCAAGTGGGTAAACGCTGAGCGTTCCACATGCTGCAGAGAAAATGGTTAACACGTGCATGTACGCTCGCTGAGCAGAGGAGTGGAGGTGTGTAATGGATTGGATCCCCCTCATCATTCCTGCAGCACTGTCGTCCTCAGGGTCTGTCCACACAGGCCGCTCCGACACAGCTGCCTGGACATAAATTCTACGCAGGAATTCCTCAGTCCGAGCTTCGACATGAAGAGCGGGACTGTAGATTCCTCCCCTCGTGACAAATTATGACCTGCAGGACTTTTCTGTGTGTGTGTGTGTGTGTGTGTGTGTGTGTAGCCATGTGACGATCAGGTTATTAATTCTAGGTTTCTAGAAGTATTGTTGTCCACAGTTGACTCTGGATTAATTTTAATATAATTCCACATTTTATTTAACCTTAAGAAAGATTTTTGGAAGTTTTTAACTTTCAAATAAACTTGACGTTAGTTGAAGTTAGTTGAAGTTGACAAATATATTTGCTTCATGTCAATTTCTGTTTACGGTTCTAACTCGTAAATCCATGGTCCAGAATGTTCTCCAGAACGACCCCAGAGGCAAATGTTTGTTAGCATGTTTGACTGTGGAGGGAGACGGTTGGATGATTTTCCCATAATTCTTTATGGTCAGTCGTAAATGTTTCTCATCTCATTCTAGTGTAAATCTCTTTTTTGATAAGTTCGTTTTTTAGTTTATGTTTTCCTGTCGTGTATTTTGTTGATATTGCTCATTTTTGAAACTTTTTCTTTCGAATTTTTCAAGTATATTTTTAATCTCTTAGATAATGCAGATCAGGTCTGTATTATTATTCCATATGATTTACTACATGAAACTATATTTTTAATTGTTCTCGATAATAAAGCTAGCCTGTTGTTCCTTATGGATCACATTTATTAAATTTTCTTTTAGTTGTATCTTTTCAGCACCACTTTTAGGGACCTGTAGTCTTTTTAATCGGTTCTTCTTCAAATCATTTATTTATTTTTTGTTAATATTATCAGTTTCTGTTTGACATCCGAGCTGTAGAAGAACATGACACACAGACAGAAGACGATCTTCTCTGTGTCATAACCTTGACAGCTGTAGAAGAAGAAGCAGAAGAAGAAGAAGAAGAAAAGGGCAAAAGGCCAGAATCTATTAAAAACCCTCTAAATCTCTGTTTCCTGCTCCGCAGCAGCTGACGCTCCAGTCATGTTAGCACAGTCTGCACTTTCATAGAAATATTTTTGGATGGATTAGATTCAGTGCAGCTTGTTATTGTGCAGTATTTCTCTGTGACTTCACTGTAGAAGATCATGTGTCTTTATTAAAGGACAGCAGAGTTCCAGGGACACGTGCCCAACGGTACTG